TCTCACGTCACCTCTCTGCACAGGTTAAGCTTGGCTTAGCTGTGCCTGTACCAGCTATTCCACCCATCGCACCTCCTACACAAAGACCTGCTCTGCTGGGTTGATGTCATCTCCGTTCCTCTATAAGTCACCACTGCCCAGGCAAAGGGAGGTCGGGCACGTGCTGATGAAGTTTGGTCAAAGAAAAGCAACGCAATATCCCAGGGACTTCCCTCTGGTGCGCGTCCCTTTGCGAACATTGAGCCATCGGATACAGGCAGAGCCAGGGACAAACTGGTAAGCGAGATGCCACGAATCCTCCCCCTACCCCGAACCGCAGGGCACAGTATTCTGGGCAGAATTCCTCTTTCTGACCTATCTGCTGCTTCTCGTTGGAGTCTGACACCGCTCAGTAAAATGCTCCTGCATCGGAAGCGGGTGGTCGCTGCCTACCTGGTCTATTCAATTCCCAAAAGCCTTCCCGAGCCAAGCCTTCCACTCCTGCACAGCTTTGTTCTCAGGTTTACCTTTAACAACCTCCAGTTTAGTGGTCATCTCTTTTGTTACCAGGCTGTTGTTGCTGGCTCTCCAGGTGACCTGGCAAGTGTAGGCTCCCCTGTCAGAGACCTCCAGGTTCAGGATGTGGAGAGACACGTTTCCTGAGACTTCCTTCGGGATGCTGACCCTGCCCCTGTACTCGGACAGGAGAGTGTGGTCGCCAGAGTCATCCCTCCGAAAGATGGTGCCGGAGCTCTGGTCGTGTACCACACTCCACGTGAGCGTTTGCTGCACAAAGTCCTCCACAGGCGTGTAGGCACATGGCAAGGTGGTAGATCCCCTCCATATGCCTTTGATCTGATTGGGGCCAGTCAGGACCAGAAAAGCTGCAGGAAGAATGGTTAAAGATAATTTAAAAAAAGCAATCATGGTGAAGGCAGCTCCTGGGTGACGAAGCGGTGGTGAGAGCATCAGCAAGAGGAATGCACCGAATCAAAAGCACAGGCAGTCAGTGTAGATGCTGAGGGAGGATCTGTTCAGGAACGGGCTAACAAAAAAGCAATGTGGCATGAGGAAGACAGAAGGGAGACAGCTGAATGCCTGGGGCACTGACACATGCCATGTGTGCGGTTAAGCTCCGGTGCGGTCCGCCTCCCATGCTCTACCTGGTGCTTACCTGCAAGCCACTGAACACCTGGCAGAGCATAGCATTGGAATTAGCGGATGATTTAGACCTGAGGGAAGGAGTTTGTCTCAAGCCTGAGCTGCACAGCTCCCCGACCACAGCTGGAGTCTGCCCCCGCCACGCGATGTCACTCTCGGGGCTTTCCTGGAAAGCACTGCGCGTTTACAGTGAACCACAGGTTTTACTGGTTTTTTTCTCCCCCGCTGCCCATTTGTTCTTCTGAAAGATGCTGCTTTTTCAGACTGAGCCGAATTTAAGCAACTAATGAATCAAAGAGGTCTAAAACTCTTTAAATTTTCCTATAAAAATGAAGTCAGTTGACTGTCCCAGTACATTTTTGTTACTCTTAGCACTGAACCTATGCTTCCATAGACACTCATTTACCCTTTTCTCCTGGTTTCCAAGCCTCCCCATTCCTGGGCACACAAGAGCTAACCAGACTTGGTGCTGAGCTGCTCGCTGCGCTCCGTGAAATAACCGTCACCACCTGTGTGGGATCTGCGTACCCCAAGTACGTGGGCAGCATTTCCATGGCCATCACGCACCGTTGCACTCCACAGCCACTTGATTTGAAACAAGTGAACACTGAGCCAGCAGCATGCAAAGATATTGGCCTTTTTGCCATATTTCTGTTGCCAAAACAGAACCACCCCTGTACACAGACACGCCAGTGCCAGGGAAGGAACTTTCCCAAGCAGGAGACCTTTCCCTATACTCACCGTTGCAGAAGAGAAGAGGACTCATAAACACGGCTGCTCTCACCAGCATTCCCATCCTTCCCAGGGCCGCAGCTTGTCCCTCTCGAGTAGAACAAACCTGCTCTCTCCAAGTCTGGGAGTAAATCAGGAACACTTCCCTTTCTTCGCTTACTTTGTCATCAAGAACCCAGGACAGTTGCTGATGGTTTTTTCCTTCCTCTTTTACAGAAAAAAAAAAATGTATCTCAGCGATGACTGTCAGAGGTGTGGGCAGAACAGAAGTTCTAAGGAAAGGTGAAAAGAGGAAAGTTTAGGAATTACTTCTACTCTTATTTCATATTTCCTGCTGAGTAGGCCTTTTTTCCCCTTCTGTTTTTTAATTCAACTTTAAATAAAAAGAAAGTTTCCTTTGTTTCTTTTTTCCCCTAAACACCAATTTCTGCCTCTTTTCCTCCTTGCATTGCTTTCTATATAATAAACATTACCATACATGTTACATACAAGAAGATCTGAGAGAGTACTCCTGAAAGAGCAAAACAGCCAAGATCATTACTATTCATTTCCTTACCAGCTTTTCTACGGAGCTCACCACTGTGTTTTAAATTAAGATTAATGAAATACCCTAAATCTTTACAATACCAGTGTGAGATAGATGATCATCGTAGGTCCCTTCCAAGTGAAGTGTTCTATTCTATACCATTATACCCCATTTAAGAGGCAGAGAATTTAGGTATACAAAACTGAAAACAAATAATTTCCAAGAGCTGCAGGCACCTGGTTTGACTACCCCACTCTATATGACAGACTGAGCCTCCTTTCTCACAGAGCAATTTAGCTGCTTGGTTGAATTGGTTAATTGCATTCAATTAAAAACATGGATTAGGGCCACATGCACCTGCATTTCCCTGTAGACTACTTTGGAAACAGGTAAACAATTATATGCCTAGAGAGAGAAAAAAAAGGAACTTATCCAAGTAGAAAATCTTTGTGACTATGAAATCGTGACTTCTTAACTGTAATGAGATGTGTTATTATTAATTAAAGGTAATATTAGCTATCATTAATCTGTATTATTAAGAAATTGAGCACTAGACCCATCTAGGAGAAGTATCTGTTCTCTACTGAAACATTATCTTCAAGAGGTTTTACATGCCTTTTTCCCTCTTCTGCAGCTCTTAGTTTTTCTTATGTCGTAATGACAGAAATCTCATCTGCTTCATTGCGTTCAGCTAAACCGATAGGAGCACTTTGCTATTGTGACATCCAAATTCAACATCCAGTCCTCAAACGCAAGTAACCAGAACAATTAAACACAGTCAGCAAAATCCTAGACCATACTTTAAAGTACAATCCTCCTTTAACGATAGTGAGACAGTGTTTGCATTTGTAGAAGCACAGCGCAGGATACCAGAGCGACCAGTGCTGCATACCTGATCCTGAAGTAGTGGTGATACGGGGAAAAAAATGGTTCTAATAGTCTTATATGTGACCCAAAGACAGCTCCACCTACGTTGTCATTCATAAGGCAGCTTCATTAGGCTGTTATGTAATTTAACATTAAAACCAGGAGATTTGTCTATACAGCCCTGGGAGCTCTGATATTATCTTGTTCCTTTTCTTTTGAGGTCTTCGCTTTCATTGTGATTGCTTGCTTTTACATATATTCTGATTTTAGAGTCACTGGTGGTTCAGTCTGCAAAACAGTGGTGCTTAAAAGCATATATGCATATGACAATGTCATTGGTGTGAATTTGAATTTGGTTCTTTCAGATTATAACATTCTGATCTCTGTTTCCCTGAAGCTGACGTTTTTACTATACACAATTTCCATGCCTGTATTTGATTAGAAAATCTCTATATCCTTGTGGTTGTTTATCAGTCTCGGCCTGCAGAATCATCTGTTCAATTAATTTCTTACCATCTACTATATTTGCAGTTATACCTGTAATTAAAGAGGACGTCTAACCAGCTTAAGGTCTAAATGCTTCTCAAAATAGCCTATTTGATAAAGCTGAGAAAAAGGTTCAACAGAGATTCAAGAGATTTCGGGACCTGATTTCACATGCTCCTCCCTTGCAGCCCTGTATTCCTCCGTCAGAAATTTTCCGTGAGATGCAACTCCAATCTGCAGTCACTGGGATAGGGAGAAGCGTGGGTTGCAGTGTTCGCATACTTCTTGGTTCAAAAAAGGAAGAGAAAAGAACACGTTAAGTTCAAATTAATGAAACTCCTTCCTGGGGAACACGGCTGGCTGGACAGGAGGGCAGAAGCCTAAACTGACTTGGGCTAAGTTATAGGGGAACTGACTGCTGGCAGGGTACTTACCAACCAGGAAGGTAAAACTCAATCTGCGGGACAAAAAAAAAAAAAGACATGTGTCTATGTATATGTTTATTTATATATTTATATTTACATTTACATTTTTGGTTGGGGGGGGACAGTGGCAGGAGAAATCTCTTATCCTTCATACGATGCAAGCGCAGACACCTGTATGCTAAGATGTCCCTCGGTGGCAATCTCGCGCTTCTGCTTTGGGGAGCTATCGTAACATGGGTACTACTTTTCAAAATGGCAATCTTGTTTTAGGAGACAGCAAAACATTCTGACCGTGGACTGGGTGAGGTGGCATCATACGGTACAGGAGAGATGGCTCGACGTGAGATTTGCTCGTATTCTGGAAAGGTCCGTGTTAGCCAGCACACAGCAGCACGAGATGAAAAACGGGTGGCTGGGCGACGTGGTCTGTGCGGGGAGGGCTAGTCTGGGACAGCACGGGAGCTCATTACGAAAGGAGCGCGTGGGTGAGGGGCACTCTTCACTTTCTGCCGCTGTGCTTGCCACGTCTGGGTGTGTTCTGTAAATTCTCAGCACATGGAAGTCAAGGAAAAGCAACTTTTCCTTCCCGGGTGCTGTGACACAGCACACTAAAACCAGGAAGTTAGAGCAGCAGCTGCGCGTGTCGATGCTGGAGGAGGAAGGAAACTTGCGTTATAGTGAAGCAACTGTGGTCACGGGTAACGCAGACGTGTTACACATCAAGTTGCAGTGGCATAGCGTTCCTAACCAGCAGGCCGTCGTACACAGGGGGCTAGGGACCCGGTGCCACGCACCGCTGTGTGTGCCGGCATCGCTTGGCTG